CTTGCTCTGTGTGTCACCTAAACACCAGAATCTGTCCCTGTAAAAATGAAAAATTGTTTTTTTATGGGTTTCTCCTAGAGAACTAGCTTATAGCAAACACTGATGACTCATACTAATGTTGTCATTGAGACACTAACTCTTCAACCAATCAGATGCTTTGTTGGTGGGCAGGGCCGTGTCAGACTACCTAAAYTGTCCAATCAGAGCAGAGTATTTTATGGTAAGGAATCAGCCTCCCTGGTGTTTGTTTAGAGAAATCATTTATGTATAAGTCAGCTAAAGGCACTCCCCAACTCTTTTTAGGTAAAGAAAACTTTGAATTGTCAGAATTTTTAAAGTTTCTCTGGTAACACTTTAATATAAACTACACAAAATATGCTTAACTACTCAGGAACTAAATACTGAGTAGTTACTAAGAACACCAAAGATAAACWAGTAAAGTGAAGCATCTTCCCCAGTAGTTTGTGTCCTCAGTAATTACTTAGTAACYAYTCAGTAAYTATTTAGTAGTTACTGAGTAGTTTCTCTGTAKTTAAGCAATTTTTGTGTACCTTAGTGTAAAGTGTACCGTTTCACTTCTTTATCCCACCCATCGTGTGCACGTTATTACATTTCTTTTTGTAAAGATTAAATAAAAAAAATCATAAATCCTTGCATGCCAAAATGTGTTGGCACTCAAAGAATGCATTTGGGATGACTCTCAGCTACTACCAGACATAATGTGTTAATGATCTGTAAAATTGGCTGTGTTACAGCTAGGTTAGATTATTTGCAATGACCACATGAATCAGGCTGAGACTAAAAGTAGGGGAGACCGGGGACAGTTGCAACACTTTTTTACATTTCTGTTACTCAGAGATGGTTTGAATGAGACAAACCAAATTCTAATACAATAAACTTACATCTGTCTGCTAATAGTCAAAACAATTTATTGATGATCAAAGCATGTACGTTCTTCACAAAATGCATTTGAAAATGAAAAGTCRGATGTTGCAACTGACCCCGAGGCCAGGGACAGTTGCAACATTGTTTGGAGGTGGTTACAACTTATTATTAATACAAYATATTTCACTGTGAATAAAAGTTTTATTATTTTTATATTTATATTATTGCTAAATTAATAAAAATTATAAGTTTAATGATGTTACAGTGTTATTTATTCTTTTTTGATCAAATGACAAATATAGATTTGCCTTGATGAGTAGACCTTATATACAGATGTCAAAGACTCTAATCGATACAAAATACAGTTGGCTTTTAAAGACAAGAATAATAGTACTATTTGTGAGGCRATTAACTTTTGTTTTGTCTATTGTCACTGTACGCCTACATTATGCAAAATTTACATTGAWWGAAACTGGGATTTTAAAACCTTTGTTGAAAACAACAACTGCAGAAAATACATCTGAAACACTTATTAGTTTTAAACTATAAAATTGTCATGAATACCCAGTACCCTTTTCAGAGGTGTCAAAAGGATTCACTTTCATTACTTAAGTAGAAGTATAGATACTAGGGTTTAAAAATACGTTTTTGGAAGTAGAAGTATCAAGTCAAGCTTTTTACTC